GGAGCGTTCAAGTATTACGTAACGAATGCGTAAAACGTTACGATACGCGTTATTGCTAATATTATTATCGACTTTCCACCAAACCACATAATGGTAACTATTAGGTATAAAGAGTCACTAGGTGGTCATGAAACGTTTTACTATTGGGTACGGCGCGTTACATTGGGGGGGTCAATAATCTCCAAAAATTGCGTGACGTAATACTTGAACGCTCCCTTATTTATAATTTAACATTATAAGAAGCAAAGAAGAGAAATGCACGAAATACGTAGTATAATGGTATCCAAGAGAAGGCAAAAGGAAGAGGGGATGTCAGGTAATAAGATGGGCAGATGGTCTGTCGAAGAGATAGAGCAGAATGGGCTAAAATAGGGCCTATGTCAGATGATAACCTGACCATAAAACTGGTTGCTAAAGAAAGTTATCTTTTTTTTACTAATTATGTAATAAAAAAAATATGAGAATAAAGGCTTTCTTTATTATTCATGTACCTACTAATTATCAAATAAATATCAGGTATGGAATCCAACACGATTGACTTACTACCAAGCCCTGGCGTCGGCAACGAATGGACCAAGTCTTTGAAGCCTGATTCGGGTAAGAATTATTTATTATCTAAAGACTAGTGAAGCTTGAAATAGCGTAGTAAAATGTTTTTAAAATATCTCCCTGCGAGAAACTTTTTTCTTATTCTTTAATTTCTCCTGAAGCGAGAAAGCTTTAAACAAGCACGACATGACGACTTATGTGGAAATGATAAATACCGTATTTGTTCACACTTTATACTAAAGCTCATTAAAAGCTTTGGTGCTTTCTAAGTTAATAGAGTACTAGTGATACAAATGGTTACTTGATTTCAAATCTTTAAGAATTTTCGATTTATTGATTTATGATTATGTATTTATGCAGGTCGTGACGGTGAACAAATGTTTGAATTCGACGGTGAGTCTACGTCTGCCGTGGTGCCGGAATCACTGATGAAGCACACCCTCGGGACCACCTTCTCAGTCTCCACCTGGCTCCGTCACGCCCCACCACCGGATCACGACAAGCACCGCAAAGAGCATATCCTGTGTCTCGCTGATGACCATAGTAAGTTCTATATGGCAATTATTAATTATTATTAATCTGTGAAAAATTTTCAAAGTCTAAGTATTGGTTATACTTCACAGATAATGTAGTTGTGTTATTTAGGATATATGCTGCTCTTCTCTTGAGGGATGATCCTTGACCAGTCTTACCACTGACTTCTTTCCCAGGGATTAGGGATTCAGGGTGTAAGGGGCCGTTCCAGTATTACTTAAGCAGTTTTACTGCAATTTATATCCCCCCTCCCCCTCCTTTTGTTGGTAAAAGTAAGGAAAGCTCTCAAAAATTATAATACATAAACGTATAAACTTTTTGTAGGAAACCTCGAAAATGCATTTCGATTTCAAGCATAGATATTGTGTGGGTAATATGTGTAAATAAGTAAATATTTTTTTTTTTTTAAGACAATTCACACCAATTGACTTAGTCCCGTGCTAAGCTGGTGAAGCTTGTGTTATGGGTACTAGGCAACTATACATACATATTATAGATATATAGACATATAAATACATATTTAAACACCCAAGACCTAAGCACAACACCAAATGCTCATCACATCGATGTTCGTCTCAGCCGGAGATCGAACCCGGGACCCATGGATTCGCAGTCAGGGGTACTAACCACTAGGCCAATGAGTCGTCAAAACTTACTGTTGACGTAATCATCATTGTAGCGTCGAACTTCATAACACTGTACAGGGTTTTCTAAGATTATTATTATAATGCATCTTTATTTTGAAGGTCAAACGATAAATCTTGTCAGAATTTCCATGTCATATAGTTATTAGATTAAATCTCTCTTCTAATTTTTGCTAATCTCTTCCCTAGAGATTTTCTTCAAAAACTTTGCGACTAACTTCATTTCAGATAATATTATTCGTCACTTTTTTAATGAAATAATAAATTTCCAGAAATGAACAGACACCACTACGCGTTGTTCGTGCGAAACTGTCGTCTGATCCTTCTCCTGAGGAGGGACTTTGGAGAGGGTGATCTGAACATCTTCAGACCTGCTGAGTGGCGCTGGAAGCTACCAGAGGTTAGTAGATGAGCATAATTTAAATTATTCCGGTAAATAGGATATGTATGTATCAGAGATAGAAGCGATTGTAGTGTTGTGTATTAAAATACGTGTCGTATGTAGTGTCACAAACATGGTCTTGGATCTGATCTGAAAAAATCAGCTCTTGAAATAAGATTTATGTTTGATTAACGTTCTGAAATGATTTTGTATGAATGAAGCTAGTATAAAATTCTACCATAAAATTTTTCACCAAATTTGTCTATGGCAATAATAGTGCAGTGTGCAACTGTGCACTCAGTTTACGCACTTAGAGGCCCATTTGGTCCGTTATGCGTTCAGTCCTGGCGAATAAGCCAGCCTAGCTCCTTCCAGAAGCTCAGAAGTTTCTTGGTCACTTAGCAGGCTTCACGGAGCGACCTCGAGAAATTCTGCTCATTGGGAAACCGCAGCCACTCATTCCAGGATTACGTGGGTGTCTGATACCTCTGCACGAGGGACTGTCTATCGCGTTTCGCAATATTATTTATTGTCCTATAATATGTTTATTTCTACAGGTGTGTGACGACGAATGGCATCACTACGCTGTCAACGTACGTTTCCCGAACGTGGAGTTGTACGTGGACGGCGAGCTTTACCGCGCTTTGGACGGAAAGGGACCGGAAGTTATAGATGACTGGCCTCTTCACCCCGCCCATGGAATTAATACTACGCTCGTGGTTGGGGCTTGCTGGCAAGGTGAGTAGTATATTAGATAACATAATGCTATCTGTGGTGGTATAACTCTAGTTATATATTGTCTAGATTTTACTGGACAGTTTATTTACCAGTGATTTTGTGATTCATAATAAACCATAACTCTTGCGTGCGTGTTCATTTAGTTAGATCTTTGACGTTGAGATAATGCAGTATGTGATAAAATTTTGAAATTTCATACAAAACAAGCTTTACACATTGTTGGAAGAAATATAAGCCATTTATAAAAGTTACACCCAGTGCAACCAAATGTAGAATAAAATGTGACTCAGTCGCATTGCTCACGCAAGATCTAGATGATAAATATGACAAGAGTATGATTGCGCCTACATATTTCATTAGACAAGAAGCATCGGCCTTCTGTCTGACACATTCTGACATTGTATGTAATTTTTGGATTTTCCGGTTTTCTCACGATAATTTCCTTCACCGTACGTACGTATTGTTAGATGCGCATATAAACAGAAAGTCGTGATATATTCAGTAGCGGGCCGACCAGTTAAAAAACGCACCTATCGGGTACCTAAGACGTAAAGTTTTTTTAAATTACTACTAAAAAGTAAAGAGTCGCTCCATAATACCTCAATTGTCTCGCTTAGTTCACGTGTTTTCATATTGTAAATGAAATATTATAGGTACAGAAAGCGACATGAAGCACCACCTCCACGGATGGATGGCAGGTCTCGGAGTGGTCGAAGGCGAAGTACAATCTCCAGCAGCTTTACGCTGCGCCGCTAGATGTCGCGAGGGATTGTCTTTGGCGCCTGATCTATGTGAGTATATTTGAATAAATATATGCGTTTAGATTTTATTGCCAAGACGTGCGGGCCAAGTGAGTTTGTATGTTTATAGTAACTAATTATTGTATTGTCTAAAATGATATATTGTTTTATTATTGTCTTATTCGCCTCTTCAAAGATTTTCTATATCAATAAGACAAGACTAGAGAAAGAGAAGAATAAGACTTCAATTATTGAATTCACTTATGATATATGTAATTTTTGAAGTTATACTTCTTTAGAAAAATTTATGAGAGTGAAATTTTACAATGCGCGCGCACCCGTGACACAAAATTAGGAGTGTGATTATAGCGTGCGCGAGCGAGATAGGAATAAGACAATCTACAAGTAAAAAGAAATAGAATATGCGTGAAGTTCGTATGCCAACAATTTTGAATGACCATAATGACATTTGTCATTTACCTTTTAAACAAATAAAGGAGTTTTAATTATTTTTTCAAAGAAATTTAGCGATGCTTTTGAATTATAATCAGAAGTGATTTAAATTGAATATTTAAACCAATACTAATTAATATTTGTGAAAAAACTGTGCTCATCAACCTTCCTAAGTGCTTCAATACAATTGAGGTTAACTATCCGTATGTATTATTATTATTATCGAGTAATGTTTTGATTAAAAAATTAACCACATTGTTTAATCAAAACATGTAATTTTTCTGATTTTATCTAGCAAATATTAGGTCCTTACATATGAAATTGGCGTTTTGCATGGGAGGAACAAAAAGTCGAATATTTTTAAATATAATATATTTAATTAATCAAAGTATGAACCATTGTTTTCTATGCACTTTTGCCATCTCATAGGTAGTTCATCGATCCCTTTACTAAAAAAACCAGTCGGACGGGAATCAATAAAATCTGTGAAGGCGATTTGGACTGCCCCATTAGAGTTAAATTTTTTACCTTGCAAGAAGTTGTCCAAATTTCGAAAAAAATGGTAATCTGTTGGAGCATGGTCCGGGGAGTACGGAGGATGTCTTAGACATTCCAATTGAAGCTCTTCTAATTTGGTAGCCGTCTGTTGTGCAGTGTGTGGTCTAGCGTTGTCGTGAAGTAGCAGTGGCGTGGACCGATTGACCAGCCTAGGTTGTTTAGCCGCTAGCTTTTCCATCATGGTTTGCAATTGCTGACAAAAGACATCAGCCGTAATAGTCTGGCCAGATTTGAGAAAGCTGCAATGAACAATACCGGCACTAGTCCACCAAACGCTTACAAGTAACTTTTTTGGGGTTAATTTTCGCTTGGGGCAGGATTTGGCTGGCTGGCCTGGATACAATCATTGCGCTGAGCGCTTTCGATTATCGTAAAGAATTCATTTTTCATCACAGGTAATGATTCGGTTTAAAATACCTTCATTATTGTGCCGGTTCAGTAATGTAACGCAGCAGTCGACAAGCGTTTTCCGGTTTGCTTCAGTCAATTCGTGAGGTACCCATCTTTCAAGCTTTTTAATCTTCTCAATTTGCTTCAAGTGAATTAAAACAGTTTTATCACTAACACCGCAGCCTGCAGCTAACTCGGACGTGGTTTGCGATGGATCCGCTTCCACAATAGCCTTCAATACTTCATTATCAACTTGGGTCTCAGGCCGTCCACGGGGCTTGTTCTGCAGGTCGAAATTTCCAGAACGAAAACGTTGGAACCAAAAACGAACTGTGTTTTCTTTTGCAACGTGACCGCCATACACATCATTCACCCTTCGAGTCGTTTCCGCAGCACTAGTGCCACGGCGGAACTCGTACTCGTAAATAATGCGATACATTAAGTTTTCCATTTTGTAAAATGAGTGACGCAAACAGAAAAAAACAGAAGAAAAAAACAAATGAATGACGATCATCGAAGCACAAATACATGAGTAAATAGCTGTACAAATTTGAATTTGGAATTCCTTACCAAAGAAGAGAACATCGTGATTAAAGTGGCCAGTACGAAATACGCCAATTTCATATGTAAGGACCTAATATAAGGAAAAGAGACAAAAAACAATTGATGAATCAGTGTAACTGCACTAAATTGAATACAAAAAAAGAGTCTTCATCTTATCGCTGTGAAACATCAAAAACTGGAGGTGGAACAAAGCCAAACTATTTTTAATATTGCCAAAGAAGTATAACTTCTTACGCGCGTACATAAGTACACGGACCCTTTTTTTTTATATAACTAAACTAACTATAAAAAAATATATTACATAATATTTGCATGCACTTTATCCATCATATTTCTTATTTTAGCTTTTCCCTTACTGGGGTTGCCTGGAAGAGATCGCTTGTTAGCGATAAGGCCGCCCTTTGCATCTCTTATAAATTTTTATGTATTGTGTTATTTAATGCAACGAAGTGTGAATAATAATGCATAATGCATCTCTTACTCGCAGATCTGAAATCCGTATCAGTAGAGGGAGACGGCGCATCCGAAGTTGAGACTTTGGTACGTCGTGTCGCGTACGGTGATGCACGATCATTCCCGACCCCTGGAAGACGGAACGTACATCTGGATACTACTATTACGTGAGTTTTTTTTTTTGGACTTGGTTTTAATGTTACAGGTAGAACTAAAATAAGATCTGGCCGAGAAAAGTATAAATGTAATTTAATTTTGAAATATAAACACACCACATAGTAAAGGCTGTCGCAACATCTAAGTGTTGGTGGGCAGGCCACATATCGCGCATCGACAAGAACCGATGGGCTCCTTGAATGTAGACTTCGCAGTCCTAGGTGGACTGATTGATGTAGAGAGGCTGGTGCAAGGCGTTCTGGAGGAAAATGGAGGACACAGAAGTGGACCAATCTCGTGACTTTTAATTTTCAAAAAATTAAACGTCATACGCTTGGAAGACTAAGTCACATCACACTCAAGTATAATCAATTCCACAGTATAATCAAAAGGTCAAACAGATAATCTACCTTTTTTTAAGTCGGCTAAAATTTTTCCGATACGATATAGACAATATTCGTGAAAAAATAATTGAAAAAATCACATCTTTATAAAAAATTATGAATTTTCCCCTTTTTATAACAAATGTTGCCTTTTAGTTGCGATAACGGCCGTGTGATCAAAGCGAGACCGGCTGAATCATACGTGATGGTACTCTCGCCCCAAACACCAACAATCCTGCTGAACGGCAGCTCTGATGCTGCAAGGGACTACGCCCATTTCAGAGCTGGTCTTCCGGTCTTTCCGGACTTGGAAGTTAAGGTTTTGTCACGTGATAGGGATTCACTGAGAGGTAAGTGAAAAATTTTGTTGTAAGATAGTTTGGCGACGGGTAATTTTTTTTAATTTAAAAGTTTTTATTTAAAAAATCCTGACTTCGATTCAAACTTGTCAACCATTGGTGTAGGTTTATTTTAAAAGTAAATCTAATTACTTACTGTACATTAAGTATTTATATAAGATTGTTCTAGAAAAATACTTCTAGTGAATGAAGTCTTCCTCAAACACATTTTGAAATTCCCTTTGAAACTGTATACAAATTTACAGAAGCAGACACACAGAAATTAGATTCGTGCGTCGTATCCGTATATCCGGCTTTGAATCCGGATCATGAAGCTCTCGCTCTACGCGGACACTCGGTCCTGCCCGCTTCGGATATCCGGGCAACTCTTACTCGGGACGGAGTCAGTTTAACTGGTGCCGATACTGTGTATAATTACCAAAAGGTGGGTCGAGTGATTCTTTAGCTATGGGAGCGTAACGAATTTTGGAGGGGGGTCCTTTAGTAAAACGTTACGATGCGGGGCGGGGATTGAATTACGCGTTATTGTTAATATTATTTTCGACTTTCCAGTACTTTACACCACATAATGGTGACTTTTAGGTATAAAGATGTGTGTAAAGGGTGGTCACGAAACATTTACTATACTTGGGTACATAAAAACGTTACGGCGCGTTACATGGGGAGGGGTGTCAATAATATCCAAAAATTGCGTGACGTAATACTTGCACGTAATGTTAAAAATTGTTTTTTATTTACAGTTTAGTTAACAAAATATAATTTTCAGGTCTTACGTGAAATCGAATATAGCAACAAAAAGCCTGCCTACTACCTCAACCGCGTGTTTAAGCTCACGTGTTCGGAGCTCAACGGACGATTTACGAGCAACGAATACGTGCAAACGGTAATAATCTGTTTTATTAAAAGGAAATTTTGTTGTACAATATCTAGCCAAAAGCCAGTACTGGAATAATTATTACGTATTTTGTTATATGTACTGATTCACCTCAAGTTACCTTAGTTTCTAACTTTCATCTACGGACGTCGAGGCAGAATATAAAATACCATCCGTATCACCTCAATGTCCGTGGTTCCACATAAGCGTTTTAAGAGATTTTGCTCGCACCACCACTATGTGGAACCAGCTACCCATTATAGTATTTTTGGTCCTTTAAGATAAGAGTGTACCAGTTCTTAAAAGGCCGGAAACGCAATTGCGAGCCTTCTGGCAACATCAGCGCCCATACTTAACGCGGCGGCGATGTTACTTAACATCAGGTGAGCCTCCTGCCTGTTTGCCCCCTGTTATATAAACTATACTAAATGTTTATACAATTTTCATAGAAAATTAATGTTATACGTGAGTGGTAAATATAGTGAAAATAATATCCTCTATTATTGAAATCGCTAGGATGCTATGCTGGATGATGAAATGTAGAAATAAAATTAAACATATACTAATTAAATTTATTAAATTTTCAGTTGACAGTGGTTCATCCCCGAGCCGCAGGTGATTTACACGCTCAAAGGCCGAGTGGACTGGCCGATAAACTTGACGCTGTTGTCAGAGATAAGGTATTTAGAAATCTCAATATAAATTAACGTGATTTAAAGCAATTTTCATCTTTTGCCCTTAGGCCCGTATGGGAACCGAATTCGCTAAGATAATTGTACACAAATTATAAAAGTGCTCAAAGAATGCATTGCCCTGTAACCCCCTTAACACGATTCATACTTGTTTAAATAAAATTATTACTCGTAGTTTTTTTGTGTTTGGTCCTTCGAGCCGGAATATTTTATTTTTAGTCTGGTGAAGCGGCAGTGGCTGCTCAAGTTCCGCGTGCGTTCGCTGCTCACGCCCTTCACTCCATACATTCAGCTGATATGCCTTCACCGCGTTTATTGGATATACATCATGACAGTAAGTATTTTGCTAAAATCTTTGAGTATGAACTTTTAATTACAATATTTTAACATTCTATTAAATAATCATTCAATAAATTACTGTTGTTAACGAAACACAGTAAGTGAATTTTCGAATGGTCCCCCTGTGGGGCGTGGGGAAACACTGCTATAGGCCAAACAGTTGTATCAATTATTTATCTCTTTTCATCTACCTTTTTTCAGACAACAACGTAGCCCTAGTGATCGGCGCGGTTTGCTTCGGCGCCGTAGTCGTGCTTATAGCTCTGGGCATCGCCCGCTCTCGTGCAGCACGACACGACGCAACATCGCGCGACTCACGTGCGACTGTCGCGCGTCACCGTGTGCCGGCGAACGACTCTGAAATGGCCTGGGACGACTCTGCGTTGACTATCACTGTCAATCCAATGGACGAGGTATATATAAATATAAAAAGTAAAGTTTCAAAGTGAAGTGAAAAATTATGGATCATAAGCTATCCCATGGTAGTGTTAAATACTTATGTCGGATTAATAGAAGAAGTTTTAGGTGTAAAATATTTCTTGTATTCGCTTTATGAGTTCCAAACATTACGGAAACTGTTTGATCAGTGTTGCCAGCTACTAAAAATTAAAACTTCTTATTAGTAGAGTATTTAGAGTAAACTGATTTGTAGAAACAATTATTTTTGAATTCCCCAGAGCGCCCCTAAAAGTGGTGTGTCGACGAATGGCGCAGTGGCGTGTGACAGTTCGGACGAGTCGTGCTCTGATTCTGACACTGACAGACATGATTCTTCCGATGAAGAGGATGAAGGTAAAATTGTGACCAGAAACGCTTGTTATTTGAAACTAGGCGTTGACCGTTATTTTCCAAAATCAACCATTAAGGTTCATTTTCCTGTGATTTTTTTATCGTTGTTTTAAACAGAATTATTTTTTCATAGGTTATATTTAAATTGAGTTTTTTTGAATGTGTGTTTGCGGTAATTAAAACAATATTTATTTCAGTAATACAAGGAAAGCAGCACAAGTACAGAAACATCAGCCAGCTAGAGTGGGACAACAGCACGATGTAAGCGTGCCGTCTCGCTCGCACACAGTACTTAACGCACTATCGCCCTCTCACTCTCGCCCGCGCAAACACTGTATCTCCGTCTCGCTTGCACAAAGGGATATGTATTGATATTTGGATGTGAAATAATATAAAGATCGCAAATGATCCGCAAACTATTGAAAGCTACTTTTTTTAAATATGAAAAAAAATTGTTTTATTGTTATTATACAATATACATGTTTTGTTTACCTGTTCTTGTTGCCTTTGACATCTGTTTATATGTTGGCAGTTATTTCGTCATAGACAAGTTGATATGTTAAAATTAATTCGTCGTGTTTATTTCGTAATACTAATTATTTGTTTAAAACGAAAATTGGTATAATTAAAAAAAAAAGGGTGCGTTACTTATGTACGCGCGTAAGAAGTTATACTTCTTTGGCATTATGTATTAGAAATAGTTTTTGATTGCATGCAAATAATTAATTACAATTAAATAATCAAAGAATGGAAAAGGAGTCATTATAGTCAATAAAGTTCAGTTTACATTTGAAAAATTCAATAAATAAATATTATTATTCTCTTACATTAAGTGTAACATAAATTATATTATTATTCGAATGTTGTTTTTAAATTATGTCCAATGCCGTAGCATCTTCCGTGGGCAACTTCATTCTGTTAATTTTGTGTCACGGTGCGCGCGCATCGTAAAATTTCACTCTCATAAATTTTTGATAACGCGCCTAAAGAAGTATAACTTCAAAAAACTGTTTTAAGCAAGACTCCAGCGTATTAGCAAATTGCGGATCAAAAATCTCGAATATCTTCATCAAATAGTATTTAGAATTTAAATTTTATTTAACTCATATCAATAAATGTCCCATCGCGAGAATTTCGCACATTTATATAAGGAATTGATTTTGTAAAATGTTTAAGGGACAATCGGTAAGGTTAGGCCAAAATGGCCGCGTCAGTCTCAAAATAATCATATCAGATTTATACGTAATAATTTCGCTTGCTTTAGAATCAAAGGCTTTTCTATGTTTCTATATGAAATAGTAGGCGGTTGTAAGAATAGTTAAGTATGTAAAATATATTATAAGCGGTTCGAATATTGCTATATTTTCGCCCACATTTCGTGACTTGTAACTGTACGACTTCAACCCGAAGTACAGATTCCGGCAAACATCTTGAACCTGTGCAGAAGCGATTTTAGGTACACTTGGGAGTGACGTGTCGATCGCGTGATTGGAAAATCAGTTAACGTTTGTGTCCCGCGTATGTGTATGATGCCCAAACTTTCCCCCCACTCACTTGTTTAATGCTCAAGAAGTTTGCCGGTATATGTACTTACATGTATAATTCTTAAAGATTTTTAATCTGTTACGCCATAACGAAATTTGTTATATATCCAATGTTACAAGTCCCCCGATACCAGCATTTATTTAGTACAAGCGTTCGTACAAACCGTGTAGTTCCCCTTTCGAGCTTTTTGACGGCTTAAATTATATTAGGTACAGAGTTTGAAATATAGACTTACACATATACTAGGTCACTACTAAACTATATATATATTTTGAATGCGTTAAGATTTTTACTAACAATTAGATAAGTACGTGTTAGTGTGCGCACGCACAAGGGGAGTCCCCTAAGTAAGTATAGTTAAAATGTTTCTCGAACGGCACTTGCATATCAGCCTAGAATTATCGATTGGCGGTTTTTGTTGATTTTGTCGGTTTTATGCGTTGCGCGTGCCGTCCGGATTTTTAATTAGTATTACAGATGACGTACCGCGAAATGCGGGTAGAAAATACGAAAAGGCTCATGTTTTATGTTGAAATGAGGGTAGTTGAATTTTTTATGGCAGCTTATTAAACCCGACCTTATAAGCAGATTTTCGTTAATGTTTTAGTGCCATATCTATGCTTTTTCTCTAACTACCGTCCAACGCCCTTTATGATAAATTTTATCCGTTTTGGTCCAGCACTCGATGCACAAATGCAGGCGTTTTGAAATATTTTCGTATTATTTTATGGTAGCTATTCTTTTTTTAATTTTTGTATTCTGTATTAACTGTATTAATTAGGTACTTCTTTGATGTATGAATTATTATATTTTAGCTAAAAATAAAGTTGTTTTAAAATATAACGATGTTTTATTGTACCCCTGAATCCTTTTTTAAATACGAGTGTTAAATATTTGTTTCAAACAAACGAGCTGGGTCTGGATATGCATAGTTGTTCCCCTCAGACTTAATCGATTATCGTTTAGTTTTTTTATAATTTAATTGTTTTGTTTCAAAGTCAAAAATCTTTTATTCATATAGGTAACACAATGTACACTTTTGAACGTCAAAAAAGAAATATACATTAAATGCTTTTACATTTACTTGATTTGTAGAACGGAAGAGAAGAACTAGCAATAAACTCTCCGCCACTCTTTTTAATCGCCAAGTTTTTTGTTTTACACAACGTTTGTAAGGAGCTGCAACCATTACACCATGTTCCACATGACATCTTAAGTAATAAATAATAATTAAATAAATTAAAAACAAAGATTTATTGTCCTCTATCAGCAGGAGGTATAGTGAAATAGGAGCACGCACTTACATTCTTGTGGGAACAACACGCAAATACATAGTCGAAACAATTAACATCACCGTATAGTACACGAATTCAAGTACGACCAGTCACCACAAGTAGCACCCGTTTACGAGTATGACGCACGCAAGAAATAGATTAAGAAAACTTAAATAATTAGGAGGGCATTGGGCGACATTATCGCTCGTAGGAGAAAATCTACCTACTTCGTTGACTATATTCATACAAATATAAACACATCACAATACTTTCTAAATAATAAAAGGACAATGATTATATAACAGATGTAAAGAAAGACAGAAGGGGAGCTAAGTAGATAGAGACAGATAGTGAGTCCATACTGAAAATACTGCGAATGTACTACATACCAACACAGATAGATACGATTTTTATTTATTTAATTAATGTTCTGTTTCCATTGCTGTCTAACAATAAGTTGACAGAAGTAAAAAAGGAACTAATTTTGATATAGGTCTAACAAAGATGGTCTTGGAAGTGTCGTGCAGTGTTCAGTTCATCAAACGCAACCTTTTAAAAATTTGTTTTTTTTATAGGCAAAACACAACATATTTTGTTTTTGTATTGCTGTATTTTTTTAACTCTAGTTTCTATAGAATTTGTGTAGCCCTTCAGGAACCAAGGTTTTTTGTGGCTTAGGCACCCTTTAGTGGTTTTTTCTGTTTTTGTATTATTATTTTATTTATAATGTTTAAGCAATAAGTTAAAAAAAAATAACTATTATACTGCAATAGGAGACATTCTTAGGGACGAATGTCAGTCACGACCGCAGACAGACAGCTTTACTTATTTATCCAGTCCATCCAAATCCTTCCTAACTGAAGACTACCATTGATTTACTGACTATCAAAAGTAGATTACGTATCGATTTTATCAAATTTCAAGGAGACAACTGACAAATTTAAGAAACGCGACATCTATGTAACGTATAATGAACTAGAAGCCTCTATAGGCGTATCCAGTGTGGGTATGTAATTGTTTTCTTATATGCCCAATAGATGGCTCTATCTACATGTATAAAAATAAGTTTTTATTTTAAGATGTCTTCGATAAAATGACTTAAGAATGACCACTATTACTTCGTAAAAGATTGTAGAGACAGAGAACCTACCATGAAATATACCAACTATATATATTAAACTAAATATACAAGCTTTCAAGTATTAAAGAAACTAAAATTAATTTAAGTATTGAGTAATCTACCTAAAATGAACACTAATTTATAGTTGACGTAATCACTAAATAAGAAAATCAAAGAATCTTCCCCTATAGTGCTTACTTAATACTTGAACGGAAGAAGAAGTAATTTGCAGATTCTCATGTATTGGAATCCATATAATTAGTTCAAGCAAGAAAATGAGAAACTTTCTTATGGTCGTGATAATTTTATATACGGTTATAGTAGGTACCTACTATAACCGATAAACCGGTCCCGAATTCGATTACCTACAAAACAATATCTCCTTTTTTCGATTTGAGAGCTGTCAATTTTTTTAGAAGTCCTTATTAAACAGACGTATATGTGTATCGGCTCCATGTTCACTTATCTATACTAATATTATATAGACGAAAGATTTGTATGTAAGTATGTTTGTAACGAATTGGCTCAAAAAGTACTGGACCGATTTTAAAAATTCTTTCACCATTTGAAGGCTACATTATCACTGATTAATTACAACAAAAAAATAAGGATCCCTACTAAAACTACAATAATGTTACCCAAGGTGTAAAAAAAATGCCTATAAAATATCTTTCATCGCATGCGCTGCGAAAACTATTGATTACAGAACACAAAAAATGTTTAAAAACTAAATGTCCACCCGTGCGAAGCCGCGTCGGGCCGCTAGTCTGAGAGCTGTCAGTAGACATTTAGTGTTCATTCTTCTTCTTTAATTGTTATTGAATAAACGATTCTCTTTACGCTGTGCCTGGGGAGTGTTGTAAACCGTCAATTTTGCATTTGGTGATGATGGAGAAATAGCTGAACGCATCTATCTACCTTTCCAAAGAACATCAAAATGTTACTCTAGGCATATTTACCTTAGTAGGTAACCTAGTGGTTATATGCGGAAAATAACATAAAAAAAGGAATAAGGTACAGTTATCTAAGTATCGTGATATAATATATAATCTGAAAAAAGCCTAAAATAATGTAACGAAATATTATTTTCTCGTAAGTTCTGTATCCGTTAACTACTCTGTACAAGTTCAAAAAACAAAATGCGACTGGCAAGCGTCGTGCAAACACGCTCCGACTAACCTAATGAGAGAGAGAGCGCGAGAAACATACACGAATTCCGTATAATAAACAGAGACGACCATATGTGGCGGGCAAAGCGCAATACCTATACAAAGCGAGACAGAGACAGCATTACATTTAAACGTATGCAAAAAAGAGATAGATATT